TATATATATATTTTTTTTTTTGACTGGGATTTTTCAATTCCGCAATTTGAAGAATGACATTCATTTTAACGTTGCTATGATGATTTCGCTGAAGCAATCTTTGTGAAAATGACCTTCACTTGCCCTCTGCATTCATTTTTCATTTCACTCCAGATTGCTGAATTCACAGGGAAAATGTGAGCACAGACAGATGGATTGACGAGAGCGCTACTGTTTCATATCAACGAGTCTCTTTCCTGTGGCCTTTTTTACATTAAAGTAAATACTGTTACTCTTTTTGAGTCTCACTTGTGCAAATGCTATCATGCTAACAGTTGGTAAGCTAACATAAAGTAGAGAAAGATGACCCGAGTACAAAAAGCCACACAATAAGATTTTATATGGCTTTGAGTCAGACACCATTTTCAATAAGAATTTATCCAATTCTAATATGCTAGGAGCTAGTATGCTAAAATACACAATCGCAAGACAAGGACAGTAACCTGAGTACAGAAAACACTGAAGTAGATTGTGATCGTGGTTAGAGCCAAAAAGATGAGAATTGTGTCAGTGTCCCAAGATTTATGGACCTGACTGTTTATAGTCAAATAGGATTTCAAAGACCAGACGCTAGCAGTCCATACTGTTAATCAAAACCACGACAATTAACGATTGTTACCAAAATACGAACCGAGTTATATCTGTGGCTCTCGTCAGGTTAGCCGCCTCATTGTTATGCATCAAACACACAGTGTTACTTTGGGAACTCTGGGAAGGCGGCGTACCCCGCCCCCCACCCTCCTCTTCTGCACCCCCTTTCCCTGCCGCCTGCTGCTGCAGTTCAATTAATCGGCGCGGCGGCGTGCACCGCAGCAGCCGAGCTCGCTCTGTGAGTGAACGCTGAACAGATGAATTTGGGCAGGTGGTTACGAGCTCCCCCCCTCCCTCCGTGCTCTCGCGTCCCTCCTACCTACCGCTCTGGTCCTCGGTGGTGTCGGCCTCATGGATCTCGTTGTCGAACCACATGTGGGCGACGGTCATGCGGTTCTGCGTCAGCATGCCTGTCTTGTCCGAGCAGATGGTGGAGGTGGAGCCCAGGGTCTCCACGGCCTCAAGGTTCTTCACCAGGCAGTTCTTCTTGGCCATGCGCTTGGCCGTCAGGGTGAGGCACACCTGGGAGGAAGAAGAGGAAGATGAAAGTGGAGGGTGATGAGGAGGAGCGGTTGAGCAAAGTGTATTTGTGGACCATCTGGGACATCAATACTATATATGACCAAGACGCATTCTACATGCTGGCGTAATGCATCAAAGCGCATCCGTACAAGTTATTGAAATTCACCAGAACAGGCTGCCACATGCGATAATATAATCATGCCTTTAGACTTTTGGAGCAGCAAGTGGCACATTTTGTACCATAGTCCAAGTAAACGGAATCAATTTATCACTTTGACACAAGGACGGAAACTAATGTAAACTCAGAAGGAAAAAAAAAAAAGTTTTAAGAGTTTGTGTGGCTCAAAGTTGGTTAATAATTGAACTAAATCTATCGAAAATCCATTTACAAAAGGATCGCAGAAAAATGGCCAGAAGGCCTCGAAAATGTCCACTTCAAACACACTATAAACTCACAGTGATGGTGGCCAAGAGCCCTTCGGGCACGTTGGCCACGATGACGGTGATGAGGAAGATGACAGCCTCCAGCCAAGCATAGCCCAGGATTAAGGAGAGCACAAAGAAAGTGACGCCCAGGAAGACAGCCACACCCGTGATGATGTGGATTAAGTGCTTGATTTCGATGCTGATGGGCGTGCGCCGCACCTCCAGCGCCGACGCCAGTGTGGCGATACGGCCCATCACCGTACGGTCCCCGGTAGCGATCACCACGCCGCGGGCCGTGCCTGGGGCGAGGAATCGACAGGTCACACCAGTTCCAGAGCACACCGCCAAACTAAGCTCTCTAGCAATAGTACCGTATTGGCCCGAATATAAGACTGCCCTGATTTTAAGACAACCCCTTCTTTTTCAAGACTCAAGTTTGAAAAAAGACTTTTTGAACACCAAATTAATTTTTATACAGAAAATAATTACAGTACATCTGAAACAAATGATTCTAACAATATATTTGAGAGAAAAAGCATGTTATTTTGCCTCATTCAAATCTTAATATCTGAACATTTAAATATGTAAACTAAAGTGCAATCACATTCGTAAATGAATGGCTTCTGGTTTTTGAAATGTAAATTACATCATAACTTCTCCTCAGCTGCCGTTTCTCCATTTTCTGTTATCTCTTCTATTATTTTCTTCTCTTTTCTTTCTTACCACTATTTTTTATTTTTCTTCTTTGTGCTACCGCTATTTTTATTTTTATTCTTCGTGACAGGGGTTCACTTTGGCCCGCGGAGTCAAGTTCAGCATTCGCTTCAATGAGATCTGGCGCCATTTAGCGTCATAAATGGGTATAATGTCTAGACCCCGAATATAAGACGACCCCCACTTTTTCAGTCGTATGTTAATGCAAAAAACACCATCTTATATTCGGGCCAATACGGTAACACTGTCAAGTGCTGTGGAACTTTTGGAGGAGCACTGGTTGTGGAAACACGTGTTTAAATGTATCCATTCATCCATTTTCAACACTGCTTATCCTGAAGAGGATCGCTGGAGGGTCCATGCAGATTTCGGGAGAAAGGCGGACTACACCCTGAACTGGTCGCCAGACAGTCACAGGGCACATATAGAGACGAACAACCATTCACACCTACGTTCAAATCGTCACTGAGTGACAACCAATTCCACGTTGCCCGCACACCAGTTAGGGGAGTGTACCACTGCAGCATCAGACACTTGTTTATATTTAGTTGCAGGGTAATTTGGGGAGGTCAAAAGAAGACAATGCGAGGCGGGTAGTACTTTAAAGAGGTCTGAGAACCTTTTGGGGGACCACATTTGACTAGAACCTTTTCATCCAATGAACAAGTAGTTACTTTAAGACCATTTGGCACCTTGGAACAAATTCTACAGGGGTTTTAAAAGAAGAGCCTACTAGAGGGTGTAACACTTTCGAGATGTCCAGGAACCTATGAGTGGGGGGTCAACAGCTAAGGGGTTTTGAGGACCGGATTTGAGCAACCCTGGTTTAGGCCCTTTTGGAACACAGGAACTTTTCCCCACCCGGATCACTTCACTATTGGAGAAACTTTTCACGGTGGCACCATGGGAACTCTTCAAAAAAATTAAGTTCCTGGCAAATTATTGGAGGCCAAAAAAATGACCCTGCTGGAGTTGGGTAGTAAGTTTGAAAGGTCCAGGAACTTTTTGGGCAGTGTCCACAATTGTTTAAAACCTTGTAGCTCTATGAACTAAACATATAACAAACAAGGTTTAGCTCTTTCCTAAATTGCTGACTCAATGCTACTGCGGATTCGATACCATTTTCTATTTAGGCTATAGTACTCTGGTATGTCTTATCTGTGCAAATTTGAGCTGCTACCTCTGTTGACATGCTTAAATCTTGACAAACGCCTTATTTCTACCTATTTGGACATGCTTTAACCACTAGTAAGCAACTGATCTCTTACCCTCTGACATTTGTATTTTGGCCTGTTTCACTGCTGCTTCTCCTCTCTCGTGGAATTTAAGGTAGAAATACGGCTTGGTTCTCTTTACATCCCAGGTAAGGGATCAAACATCTAATTTGGGCCTAGATCTAGAAAAGAAGTCCTGCTGTAAGACAAAGTCAAACGAACGTGTCGCTAATGAGAGCCGGCCTGGTCCAGATGTGGCCTACTGACCCTCCACGCAGTTGGTGGAGAAGAAGCAGATGTTGGAGGTCTCCAGGGGGTTGTCGTGCGTGAAGTCGGGAGAGCGCGTCTGCGGCGAAGACTCGCCGGTCAAAGATGAGTTGTCCACCTTTGGAAGCAAACGCAGTGACATACGTAACACACTTGTCAGGTCAAAACCTAACAAGCACAGAAAAAAGGAATATTCTCATCTTTGTTGTTGTTGTTTTCTGTAATCCATTATAAGTGATAATTGTAAACGCCTCAATATGTCAAATTCTAGAAAACAATTTTGTTCGAGGTGATGAAATGTGTAAGGATCTGAACTATTTGTTTTCCAAAAATGTGTCAAAATAACACGTCCCGAGCGATGAGTACTTTTGACAAATAAAATTTCAGTTCACAGAGTGACAAAAAATTAGGAACAAAGTCCTTTATTTCTGGCACAGATGATAACCCGCCGATGTGTCAAAGTGCCGAACTATAGCGCCAACTACTGCAGAGGAGGACTTACTCTGACATTTTTTTCCCACTTAAGTATCGGTGGACGGTATGGGCAGTTTCCATAACTACCTGATACCTTAACACTTTACTCTTTCTTTTATTTGCCCTCCCAACAACAAAGGACTGTTCAGTCAGTGACTATAAACCATGCCGCCTGTTTCTTGCTCTGTCATGTCAGGCCCCCATCCTGAAGCTGCAAATCCCCATTGAAAAAAAAAAGAAGAGCCGCTATCCCAGCCTCCTCTGCGCTTCCTCACCTTACATCTTCCTCACCTTACATCCGCTGGCGAAGACGACTCGCAGGTCGGCCGGGATGCGATCTCCGCCTTTGATTTCCACCAGATCTCCCTGTACCACCAGCTTGGCGTCAATCTGCACCTTTTCCCCTTCCCGGATCACCATGGCTCGCTGACAAAGAAGGGCAAAGAAAAACTAGTCAGGCAAAGGAAGTTTCTCTCAAATGACGAAATTGCCTGCCACTCACTTGAGGCACCATCTTCTTGAAGGAGTCCATGATCCGCGAGCTTTTGGCCTCTTGATAGTACGAGAAACAGCTGGTAATGATGACCACAGCGGCCAGCGCCACGCCCAGGTATAGCTGGAAATGATTATCATTTTTAGTAAGTTGAAAATCTCCCACACCCAAAACAATTGAAACGCAACAGCGAAGACAGTAACGTGATGGTGTCGTGACAACGGTGCCCAAGATGAACGTGCCCGTTACTAAACGTCCAATCAGACTGCTCGAGACTGCTCAGTGACTATTTGTGGGACTGCAATCATGTCGAGTCAAGTACAACTTTATTGTCAAATGTGCTGTTATGTGCATACAGCACAGATGAAATTTCCTCCCTCTTAAACAGACAAGAGGAGCCGCTGCGGGTGCCCGCGCCGCCATCAAAAGAACACTTAACATAAAATGACAAAATAATACAGCACAACACATAAAACAGACAATCGTGCCATCTTAACCACTTTTCCTCCATTCACTTTGTTGTTTGAAGCAATAATAGATGAAAGAGGAGCGAATCAAAGTGTCCTTTTCACCAGTGGATCCAAGACATCATGCCGCAATGCGCACACGTCTGCTACAAGCTAAGCTTGAAAGCAACAAGAAGCTGTAGCATCCATTAACGAAAAAGAGATTGACTCTCTTCTCCTGCCCCATGTAAATCCGCTTCGATTCCAAGCCGCGACTCCCAGTTCTGCATGTGCTACAAAAGCTTGTTTCGATGCCGTCTTTGATTGAAGAAAAAAAAAAAAAAAGATTTTCAAGTAAGCGTGTCCTCATGTTCTATTCCAGTCATTTGGGGCGCTTCGTTCAAGGTCTCGAGTCCGAGATTTTAGGCAGCCAGATGCTTTTTCATGTGTCCCAACATGAAGCCGTTCTCATATTTATACAGTCAGCATCTTTCACAAAACTGCTGCCAGCTGCTGCCTTCATGAAGCCAGCGTCCCGGAACATCAAATCCCCCTGCAAAAATTTGCCTTTTTCATTCGTGTGTGTGTGGATGTGTGCGTGTGTTCATCCAACAGCGACGAGACACACACACACACACACACACACACACACACACACACACGGCAGGCATGTAAAAATCACCCGGAGCGAGAGAGACATTTGTTTCCTCACAAAATGGCTTGTCGCTTCGGTTTCCCGGCGACGCTTCTCCGGAATGTCTGTTTTACTTCATCGCACTCACGGGTTGTATGTCATGCTACTTTTGATAAAAGTCGGAAATGTCAAACATTCAACTACAGAAAAATGAGTTGTACCGCAACTTCCGAGAGAACGTTTTGTCTCGAGGTCTATAAATTGTCATCAAAACACTGTTTTAATATTTCTAAAATAACTAATTGGGATTAACCCTAACCCTGAACCCCCATGAGATTGATTTTTCCTCCAGTTTTTTTTCTTGTTTCACTGGCAGAAATTATTAGCGACTCAACTAAAAAAAAAAAAAAAAAAAAGACTCATGAGTTTATTTTTCAATTTACGACCGTTTCACTAGCAGAACTTATTCGTTTTCCTTATTGGAAAATGAACCTGTTAAAAAAGCTTTATCAAGCAATCTGTCAGCCGCGTCTAAACACACCAGATGTTTTATTAGCGCTAATACGTGCTAAGAGGTAAGCGTTCATCTGATGGCGGAAGAGCCGGATGGTGCATGATGTATGCGTCGAAAGTGACGGAGCTGCGGGCTTTGAAACGTGTGCGGCGGAACACGAGTCGCCCTGCCGAAAGCGGCGAGATAGCAATCGCGTGGGGGAGATTAACGTTATCGGCGGCGCGCACGATCCGTCTCTCCTCGCGACGCCCTCCATTATGCAACGCCTGTAAACGCTGAATAATGATTGCGTAATGACCGACGCCCATAAAACGCACTATGGATGACTGCTCGGCTCCATTTACCGGAGTATTTAAGCGGGCTAATGCAGCGAAGTAAGGCACGCTTGTCTTCTTTCCCTGGGGGAGGCATCCATTATTTCCTTTCTGAAGCGCCATCATAACTCGGTTGTGTTTTTAAGAAGCGTTTCAATGTACAAGACTGTCGACAAGCGAGAGGTTCAGGAACATCTGTCCCGTGCTTATTTTTGGTCCAAATTACATTTACGGTACTTTTGAGCAGAAGTAAACCAAAGTGCAGCAGAGTTGATTTGTTCAGGGCCTAAGACCCCTCAGTCAGCTTGTGTTCACACTTGTCCAAATGACTCGCACCAGAGTTTGTTGAACCGAAGCATTTCTTGACAAGTATGAATGCAGAATTTGAATCTCTGGTCCAGGTGGCGATACGCTGCAACAAAGAGGTTCAGATGTCTGGTCCGTGTGCATATTCTGCCCACGCTTGAGCAGAAATTGAACCACAAATTGCAACAACAACATTTTTGAGGGTGAGAGCAACTTCGTGTGTACTGATTGTGTGAAGGGCTACCAAATTGATACACGTCTGAAATAACATATGTGTCCAAAATACCTTCAATAGTATGAGCATGTGTTATTTTTAATACTTGATTTAAATTGTCAGACTTTGATAGTGTTTAAAAATGTCTCACAATACTGCCAGTGTTTGCTTTTTTAAAATCATAATTTCTACTAGCAAATCACAATGTCCAGGCACTGGTGGGCTACTCAGGTGGTCTTCACGGGCACCATGTTGGTGACCCCTGGACTACACAGTGTGCTTGACCTGATGAACCACACAAGAGTTCCCTTCAGTCGAAACACATATGACAAGTGTGAACACAAAATTTGGTTCTCTGGTCCAAATGAAGATATGCCACCACAAGGTTCAGTCATCAGATCTATGTTTTTGGTCCATAAATTCACACTTGAGTAGACGCAAACCCAAGTGCACCAGAGTTCACTTGCCACAAAACCAAGAACACCTCAGTCCATTTGTGTCCTCTTGACCAAATGACCCACACTCGAGTTCATTTCAACCAAATAACACTCCCAAAAAAATCATTTTCTGCTCCGGATTGCAATACGGCTTCAGGCGACTTTGCCGTGTCTTTGTCAGTCATTTATCGTTTTGGTATGAAGTGGCATCGGGTGGTAATGGATGCACGCATTGTAAATGTGATGCCTGCAGGGCCTCACGTTGTCATTGGTCGGCTCGTCCTCGCCGGCCACCTGGAAGCTGTATGCCAGGAAGCAGAGGACGGCGCCGATCCACAGTAGGATGGAGAAGCCGCCAAACAGCTGGCGGCAGAACTTGACCCACTCGGGCATGGTTGGCGGCCGCGTCAGGGCATTTCGCCCGTCCCTCGCTAGAACTTCAGCCGCCTTGGCATTGGTGAGGCCCTGCATGAGACGAGTTGGAGAAGAAGAGGACCATCATTTTGAGGCACAGGCGGCAAAGGTACTCACATTTTGCACTTCAGTAGAAGATACTTGAGAAAAACGACTCCGGTAATTCATCTCCTACAGCTGAGTCAACGTAAAAAAGTACAGACTCTAAAATGTACTTAAGTATGGGAGCAAAAAAAAAATTTTCTTATCATTTATGAGCAATAACATTTTTAATAATGTAGGACAAAAAAATAAATAAAAATAGTTACTCTCTCCAAGTCCAAGATCTCGATCAATCCAGAGTTCAACTGAGTGGAAATTAAACTCTATTCACATCACGTGTTCATCCACAAAGGTTTAAAAAAAAAAAAAAAAAAGTTTATTTTGACAACATAAGAAGCATAAAGTACATTTTTATCCAAACTCAAGCAGCGGCGCATCTTGAGTTCATTCATGAAATGTTGGCTTGCAGCACAACACAAAACACACACAATCTACTTCAGTACAGTAGCCAAGTATTTATACTTGGCTACTTCCCACGACTGTTTTGTGGAGTACTCCTGTCTGGCCCGTTTAACAGCCCAAGTGTCATAAAGTGCAGGACGCTTTCACCGCACTGTAAAACGGGCTGCATGTAACTTTATTGAACGTTTTGTTCTGATTTTTACGGCCAATTAAATCAGGGGCGAAATATAGATTTGCCTCGGTCACACTGTTTGCGTGCGCGTGTACGTGCATCATACTAGGATTCGGGCTCAGCTTACGTTTTCGTGCGTCAACACATTCATTGTCTTTTAAACGACATTCCCGTCCATGAAAAGAAAAAAAAAAGTGGGTGAGATTGAGGGATAAAAGATGAACAAGGTGAACGGGAACACTCTTGAGCATGGAACATACTGCGTATAGGTTTGTGTATGCACCTTCGCAAGGTCCAATCCATATCGCCTGCACAGGTCATCTGCTGAGATTTTGTGGTCATCCTGCAAAAAAAAACAAAACCAAAAAAAAAAAAAGCAGGTTTGAATCAATTTTGATGCACACATGCACTCCACAGTGCTTTTAGTGGTGTTTATGTGGCACAGCAGCGCCGTGAAATAGTCACTGAATAATTTAAAATCCCATTTAATAATCAAAACTGCCATTAAATAAATAAATAAAAAACACACTGCATTATTAAAAATGCCCTTTAAAAATTAATAATTACTAATAATTAATAAGGTCATAGGCCACATATAAATCAGGTCATGGGTAGCATGAATGAAAATTCTATTTCATAAACTAATTAATTCAATTTCATCAATACCATGACATTTTTATTGATTAATTTAATTTGGTCTATATTTAATTAGCTTTGCAGGTATTTAATTTTGGATATGTTCGTGTTGGTGGAGATGAAGGAATTGCCTTTTTTTTTTTGAAACAATTTAGGTCATATGCTATGAATTTGATGTCTCAGAAGGGAAATTTGACCAAAGGCCATTATTTTCAACACAGTGCCCCCACCCCAAAGAAAAACAAAACAAAGATGTTTTTTATAAGGAAAATATCACTCTAAAATAACATTCTTTCTAAAAACATCATAGTGATAACACAAATAACTAAAATGTAACGACTTGAACCATTTGTGCATTTTTAATTCATCGCGACTCCTTTGGCCATGAGCAACTTGGCCACCGGAGGGCAGTACAATGCAGTCATGCAGACAAAAGAAGAATTTCACTCAACTACTGTAAGCCGCTCAGTAATTTGCTGCAATATTAATCGTTTTTTTACAGAGGATAAAGAATATCTGCCTGGGAGTAGTATTGCATGTCTGTCTTTATGTGTTCCAACATAGCCACAAAATGCAAATTTTTCACCCGTCTTTTCGGTCTGAGCATTAAGCTAGCGGACTTTAATGCAAAATCTTGTTTTGAAAAAAAAAACGCACGATTCTCTTTGTTTCGTGTTTAGTTTGACAATGAATTGCAACTAGGTGTGGCAATCAACAGCTTGAAGATTTGATTGCTGTCTGCCAAATTGCTGCTGTGTTGAGGTTCGCCAAATTGAGTTAGCTGCTACCGTGGAGAGCACCAAAATTATTTGTCGTAGCATTATTACATTTCCAAAAAAGTCCCATTCATACATCGTGCCAGCAATCAGTTCCACACAATCGACACAATGCTTGGCAATCAAATCATTAGCCAGACCACCTGTCTATGTGTAACCAGGAATTAGCCAGTTTCATTTTCACATGAAATATACAAATCACTGAAGCATTCCTTTGGTCTACTGTACTGTGCATGCCAACCATAAATCATGCTGACAGACAGCCAAAAGCCAACAGAGATGAGGACAGGCTGACGAAAGCCCAGCGCAACACTTGTCAGGATCCTCGCCGCCAAAAAGGTCCGCCTGACAAGTGGCGTGTCATAAGATGGCCGACCGAGAAAAAGTCAGGCCACATTTCACGCTGGCGTTTCTGACAGAAGCGCAGAGAGTCGCCGCACGCTGCTGCTGGCCCACAAATTATTCAGCGTTGGAGTACAAAGCGGGCAAGGAAGAGGGCGCTTGTGTGTGTGTAGTGGCCAGAAGCGAGCGGGAGTTATCCTGACATCAGGCTAAAAGTGTACACTCAGCACAAATCTACGATGAAAAATGCTAAATCCGATTAGCGCACACATTAGCAGTGATGACAGAGCTTGGCGGATTTAAACTCGATCAAACATTAAACTTAATGTCTAAGACGCATTAGCTGTCTTTTGTTAGCCCACACAAAGAAAATTGAAAAAAGAAAAATACAGATCAGAAAATATCCAAGACAGGAAAAACATAAAAGGTAAGTATGGACAAAAATGCAAAAGTATTTACAGATGGCTAGCTTTGTAAACGCTAATCCTATTCCCGCATATATTCACCCTTTCTTAGGTCGAGCAAGCTATTACTTTTGTTAGCTCAAACACTTATGGGTTTTGAAAAATGTGAACGTTTTACACAAGAAGATCAAAGATATGAATGAAAACGCCAAAAATATTATACGTGCAAAATTTCTAATCCAATGTCAACCATATGCGGCTCACAGCCACAAGGGGGTTTATGAGAATATTATCTACCATTTTATAGAAAGCCGCAATTTGCATATCATAGGGATCAAATGCTAAATGCTAATGCTATTAATGAACGTTAAGAAGCTTACCAAGTCCACCTCCTTCTTCAGCTCATCTAAATCCCAGTGCTTCTTCCTCTTCTCTGCACCGCGCTGCAGGGACCAAGCCGACATCATCAGCAATATGCAACAAGAGGGTTATTATTCTTACTGATCCAAAATACTAAGATGTTGATTGATTGATAGATATACATACACAGGTCCTTCTCAAAAATTTGCATATTGTGATAAAGTTCATTTTCTGGAATGTACTGACAAACAGACTTTCATATATTTTAGATTCATTACACACAATTGAAGTCATTCAAGCCTTTTGTTTTAATATTGATGATTTTGGCAAAAAAATAAAGTAAAAAAATGAAAATCCCTGTCTAAAAAAAATTGCACATTTCATCCGAACAATTTTTTTTTTTAAGTGTTTTTTAATACAAAAAAAGTCAACCGTCAAATAATTATGTTCAGTTATGCACTCAATACTTGGTGGGGAATCCTTTTGCAGAAATGACTGCTTCAATGCGGCGTGGCTTGGAGGCAATCAGCCTGTGGCACTGCTGAGGTGTTATGGGGGCCCAGGATGCTTCGATAGCGGCCTTAAGCTCATCCGCAGTGTTGGGTCTGGTGTCTCTCAACACTATCCCACAGATTCTCTTTGGGGTTCAGGTCAGGTGAGATGGCAGGCCATGTGAGCATAGTAATACCATGGTCACTAAACCATTGACCAGTGGTTTTGGCACTGTGAGCAGGTGCCAGGTCGTGCTGAAAAAGGAAATCTTCATCTCCATAAAGCTTTAAAGCAGATGGAAGCATGAAGTGCTCGAAAATCTCCGGATAGCTAGCTGCATTGACCCCGCCCGTGATAAAACACATTGGACCAACAACGAACAACCATCCGCGCTCACTCACACAATTTCGAGTGTTCAATCAGCCTGCCATGCATGTTTTTGGACTGTGGGAGGAAACCGTAGCACCCGGAGAAAACCCACGCTGGCCCGGGGAGAATGTGCAAACTCCACACAGGAAGGCCGGAGCTGGAATTGAACCCGGTACCTCTGCACTGTGAGGTTGACGCGCTAACCACTGGACCACTCACATACATACATATATATATTTTTTGGGGGGGGGGTCCAATATTTGACTACAAAGTCACATGCAATTTTTTTTTTAGCCAGTCATGGTATGGTTTAAATAAACTTGTGCATCTCAAATAAAATATAAAATTTCAGTAAATTTTAATGCCATTCCTTTTTGCTCATTTCTTTTCATTAACAACAACCCCCCCGCCCCCACAAAAAAAAAAAAAAAAACAATGGATACCTTGTTCACTGTAAGGTACATAACAATAAGAATAATCTGTTTTTTAAATACTTCCTGGATTTAAAAAAGAAAATGTTATAATGGTAAACCATCAAGCCATTTAATCTATTTATATTTGGTGATTATTCACACTTCCCCACCAGTGCAACGACAAGGAGCGAAAAAGCTCCTCACACGAGCTAATCATCGTCGCCAGGGGAACGTGGAAGTCACCCGCCACCGTCAGTCTCTGGCAAGCGCATGGCAGTCGGCCGGGAAAAAACAGACACAGAGGGAAAAGTAATCAAACGGAGGCAAGGAGGGAGCACCGAGCTCGAAATGGCATCTGGTGGAGCAATTCTCTGACAAGATTACCCCCCTGTCCTGCCATAAAGCTAAATGGAATGGGGCCCGATGGCGACGAATAAAAACACAATTGCGTCATTATGCAAATAAAAATCAAGCCGGGAACGATATTTCCCCATCTCATCCTGAGATGTTAAGTGTGTCGGAAATAAAGATAAAGCAAGGCAATCGGAAGCTTTTTTTTCTCTCTCTCTCTTTGCTAGATCATTTGCTTTCAAGGAAACACAGCACGTTTTGCGGCCGTGTTTCGATAGCTCAGCTCGTGAATTTTTGGAAAATTCAGCCGCCGAAGACAGTTTTACTTGGCACTCTGAAATTTGGTAGGTACGTCCATCATGAGCATCCATCCATTATCTGAACCACTTCTCATCACGAAGGGTCGCTGCCCTAATCTCAGCCGTCTTCTGAATTGGTTGCCAGCCAATCACAGGGCACACACAGACAAACAACCAGTCACACCTCGGACAATTGAGAGTGATCAATTAACCTAGCGTGCATGTTTTTGGAATGTGGGAGGAAACTGGAGTACCCGAAGAAAAGCCACACGGGTACTGAGAGAACGTGCAAACTTCCCACAGGAAGGCCAGGGGCCTGGAATCGAAGCCCGGACCTCTGCATTGTGAGACAGATGTGCTAACCAGTCGATCATCGTGCCGCCTTATCATGAGTAGACCCACAAAAAAAAGGCTCAAGAAGCTTGGCTGGAAGATTGCCTTTTGGCTCAAAAAGGCCATTTTTGTCTAATTTGGGACATTTCCAGGGCTCTTCCAAAGGCAAACCTCTCAAGATTTTGTCCGATTGCTCCCATATTGGTATCACACAGACTGCAAAGATGGCCGGCGCGATATGCCAATTGTTTTTTGTTTTTGCCATTTGCGTGCGAGCGGAAAATATCGACATAGTTTGATCACTCGCCATAAAACATCAAACTATAATGATAACTCCGCTCATGAAAAAAATTCTGCCCGTGAAGCCAGCTTCACTTCCGATCTGAAATTTATTAGCCATGTGGACCCACAAAAAAAAAAAAAAGAAAAAAAAAAAGTCGGATTTGGATTCAAGCAGGCATTTTAAGGTCATTTCCTGAGGTTACATTACAATTCATTTGTCTGTATCAGTTCAGCAACTATTCGGATGAAGACATTTCTTTGTCCTTTTTTTTTCTTTTTTCTTTTTACACCAAATACTTTCCAAATGAGGCCTCTTAGTCTTTTGGAATTTCCCAGTTGCAAGACGAATAAAGGCTTATTCAAGTCTTATCTCCCCTCGCGACAAAAGAAGCCAAGTAGCCCAGAATGTCCACAAGGGAAATCATTGAAAAAGGCCTCCTGTAGTTCAAGTTTGACCGTTTGCTGACTGACCAGCAGTTGCGGACGTAGTTCAAGCAATCACTGGACGGCCTTCACCTGTCAGTCATCACAGCAGCACCGCTGATTTGGAAAAGGTCTATTTTCCAGAACGGGGAAACGCTGTTTTATGACACAGTAAATAGGAAAGGCCTTAACCCTTTCGGGCACAGGGGTTACTCCAGTGGACAGCTACTCATGTTATCGGGTTACCGGGTGCATGAAAGGGTTCAACTCATTCACTCCCAAAGACGTTTTTAAACGTCTTTTCAGACTTGGTCCAGAATTGGCTTGTACTGAATGAGTTTAATAATAATAAAGCAACATTAATTGCAACCTGTCACTGATTTTTATGAGCTCTAAAGCTACAGACAAATGGCCGACGCAAGCAAATTTAAATCCATACAAGCACCAAATAGGACAAACATCGGAATGATTCATCCCATTATGTGCAACAGTTCCTGGATTTCAAAAACATACTTCAAGAAAAGATTTTCAATCTACTTATTGTAATTAGGGTTTTTTTTTAGTGCTGATGTACTCTAATGAAAAGTGTGACTGGCCTATTCAGTCGAGTCTTGCACTTTTTTCTCGTGTTGTTTTGTTCACCGCGTTCACATTTTTCTAGTCGAGTGTCACCCTGTTTCCTCAAAACAACGCCAGCAGAGCATGCGTGCTCATGTTTTAAACTCCAATGTGGTCAACATAAGTTCCCAATTTGACAGCCCGCCTTTCACATTCCACTGGCATTACTCACAAAAATGAACTTTGTTTTGTTTCCAAGTCACATCACACATATTTCAAACATTTCAATAAAGAAAGGAAGATGGGAAAACTTACCCTTTCGCCCATGTCGGATGTCCACAAACTGCCGACTTAAAAAGTGAAGGACGGCACTTAACCAGCGCTACAGTTCGCACCACCCATTCCACATGTGTCTTTTTCGGGGGGGCCTGACATCCTTGGAGGGGCGGGGGTAACGCGAGCCCCGCAGGCCCACCAGGCTCACTCATTCTCATCTCTCCTCTGGAAGGGACAAAGGTGCTCAGCGGGTGACCTCCACCTGCTTCAAAGCACCCCCAACACTAATGCACAAACATGGCCGCTCCTCGCAACAACATGTCATCAATCTGAGGAGGCAACATACGAAAGCAGGCAGCAGCCACCACAACGATGGAATACAACGTAGCATTGTATCGTACTGTACTGCAGTAGTTGCTGATAGTGGTAGCCTGGTAGGTACTGATATACTGTGCAGTAGATTCAAATATCAAATGTTGAATAGCGTCATCGCACAAGGAAAACATGGCGCGACTCGAACCAACAGCATCAGCAACAATGAACGGATAATTAAATTGACGAGACGATGAGGCACACCTGGCTGAGGTGCACGAGTGGGAGGGAGGGAGCTGATTGGTTCACACGGGGAACAGAGATAACGAGAACAGGTGGAAACAAAAAGATAACGAGCGAGACAAGTCATGAGCGTGGGACAAAGGAAATCATGACAAAAGAGGGAAACAAATGGAAAGCTCACCGAAACCAAGTCAACAGAAACACATAATGACGTGGATGCAATGGGAAATTTGAGCAATGAAGCGTTAAGTGAAACTTATTTATTAGATTGCATGCATCAAATTGATCAATCTAAATGAATTTTCATGGCTTTGAAGTGTTTTTGTGAACCAGTCCCAAGTCAATACAGGGCCAGTATCGCCGATATTGATCATGACACCGATATTTTTCCATGAATGAAGGTGGGTCCATCGAGGGACACGAGCCACGGCTCAAGGAGTAATACATGCCGACGAAGTGAATGAAATTTAAAATTGGCCGTGCTTTTGTCGCACAAAGCGGACACATCTGGTCACCGTAAGGTTAAAATAATAATAAAATTAATAATACAGTCACCGTTCAAATTCAGGTGGGGAGGCGGCGTGTGGGGCCCATGGCTAATATTAGCATTAGCATATTGGGAGCATACGCTAGCGGGCCCTCGCGACAGATGCTGCCGATGATCCTGTGACACCACCAGCCTTAGCATATTTTCACGCTGGCTGGCAACGTGTGCTTTTTGGCTTCTTGCCTTCTGTTCCTTCTTCTGCACTCGTGCGCATCAGACAGATGAGTCACTTTATTTGGTATAGATTCATGGCATTGCCATTCATTTCAATGGGAAGCCGCCATTAGAGACAAATTAACACCTCATCATAAGTTTTCACACTTTGGAGACATGCTTTTTTTTTTTTTTCCTTTGACAATTAGAAACACTCTCCAGGTGTTTCGTTAACTTGCTTTTATCAAAATACCCCAAGGAAAGAGAATTATAGATGTGTTTTTACAGCATATATATCGCTATGTCTTTCCGTGGTGAAATCGGATCCGTTGGCATCATTATCACTTGTGGGCGAGCCATTAGCCTTAAGCTAATGCTGCAGCTCTGCTTACCTTTTGGCTTTGACATGATCGTGCGTTAGCCACTGTGCCAAGAACATTAAAAAAAATCGGTGTAGACACTTGGTGTGCATGCGGGGGCTACATGAGCTAACGTTTTTCCCGCCGCTTGTACTGTAAGCTAGGTCATGAAGGACGGCAAACCTGGTGGACTTAAATGTTTTATTCGCGTTCTTTTTACAACATATTACACATTCAATTAGAGTGACGACATGCGTTAAATTAAATAAATGTAAAAAAAAATGAAACAAACATCAACAACTTGAGATGAAGTCAATTTCAAATGAGGGAATGTTACATTGCTCCTAATACAGCTCATAAAACATACAAGGCGTTTTAGTACGATTACAAGCATTCCAGATCGCTCGGAATTTTCAAAAAGGAACATTCAAGTCTCGGCCATCCCCAAGCTTGACGTCTGCCGATGTGCCGTTTGGCTCGTGGTTTGGTTTTTGGAGGACAGGGGAGCACCTTTGAAGACTACCAGACAACCGAGACTTGGCCAAGGATGTGCAGCCAACGCTTGACTTAGGCTAACGTTGTTTTGATGTGTAGCGCGACGTACACGATGAACCGTGTTTCCACCAAGTAGCCTCGTTTGGCTCCAGATCAGTACGCAATTCTTGGCAATTCCATTCGGAACCCAAATAATTGGTAGTTCATCAAAAACATCCCCCATGGCAATTTCTGGTCTGACTTCCTGTCCCTGCCGACTCTCCCTCTCCTTTCGCTGCTGTGTGCGCAGCAGCCAAGCTCACTGACCCACACAAACTCGGCCTACAGAGAATTCTGCCAAGCAAAAAAAAAAAAAAAAAAGACAAAAATCCCGAAATATTTAAAATAATGTCATTGCGTCTAGGTAGCTCAGGTTTTCAGGTGTTGGGTCTTTCCTCAAGTTCCCTTTTGACTTTACTGATTTACATTTTTATTTTATGTTTGAGATCGCTAAAGCTTTCAGTTATTGAGGCGGAGCAAAAAAAAAAAAAAAATCATCGAAAACAACAGAGGCTGTCTGCGCTTTACACAATTTACCGTTTGACTAATTTTAGATGCAGCGATTAAACCTCCCAAGAAACACGAGCCGGGTCAGGTATTCACCTTCCCAAGCATACCGAGCCAAAAGCCAACGAGACCCTTTGGTGGGAATGCGGCTTTACACACCCAACATCCTTTGGCCAGTCGGGGGGGGCAGAGGTTGAGCATCTTGGCATTGGAACAAAAGACGGGAGGAGGGTCAGAAGGTGCGGGATGGCGAGGACCGCACGGCTCCCCAGGAGAGCAAAGGGAGGGCGGGGTTGTTTGAAGGGCAAATGAAGGAGGGAGGGAAGCTGAGAGTCCGATAAGAAGAGTCTTAACGAGCAAAGTGGATTGTGCCGAGTCCTATTCTGCGGAGCCGCCAGATGACAGGAAGTGGAAGGAGATAAAAGCCAAAGACGTGATGGTGACGCGGGATGGCAGCGAGATTTTTTTTTTTGGGGGGGCGAAAAAAGGAGGACAGTCCCGTCTTAAGTAGCTTCTGTCCGCCGCCCGCCCTCCAGCCCCGTGACGTCATCCATGCTCGTCAGTCGCTGGCCTGCCAGGCGAAACGGCGGACACTAAATCATATGCGCCACCACCCAAACGCCGACCCGCTGGCTCGGCCGGGAAATGCGCAGCCGTTATTCGTGAAGGCGGGCAGAAATGGATGCCATTAAACTCCACCTGGGGCCAGAGGAGGGCGACGTAGCGCCAGGCCGAGAAAAAAACAGCGGCAACACAAAGTCCAACATGTTTGTTTTATGTTGCTGTTAATTTTATCATGGAAAGACGGATTTAATGGTACTGGTCGGATTTTTTCTTTCGAAATAATACTGAGTTATTCTGGCATTCTCCCCCAAAAATATGATGTTTTATCTTGGAAGGGGAGGGGGTGACTTTTATTCTACACTAAAATAAAATTGTTTCCAGGCAAAAAATAAACATCTTTGTTCTTGGAATATTTGCATTGTCCTCAATGGAAAATTACCATTTTAATCAGGTATTTCCCCTCCAAAAGTGTCTTTATTCTTTATTATTTAAGTCTTTATTCCTCTAAAATGATAACTTATCTTCCCCAAAATATATTCGGTTTCTTCCCCCCCCCAAAAAAACAAACAAAAATCTACTTTAGTCTGAATTTTTTTTCAATTAAAACATGCATATTGTGGCATTTCCCCCAAATTATGACTTTGACCTTGAAAATGTTGGACCTTGTTATGACCTCCCCCAAATTCCACCCTTGTTTTTTTGAATATTTAAATGTCTTTCCACAAAAAAAAATGTTTTCTTTTTAATCTAAAGAAAATCGACAATTCTTTCTCTTTTATTTTTCTTTTTTTTTTTTTTTTTTTGCATCATGCAGATGAATTAATCTGAAAAAGGGCAGGACTGCTATCTCTGTCGACGGTGCCCCGAGGTCTGGCCGGGGCTTGGTCACGTGCTTCCCGCCAGATTGAGTCATAAAGAGGGAAAAAAAAAAAGATTCAGGAGGCTCCGGCCCGGCCCGAGGGGCGTCTGGTGGGCTCCTGTGGCGCCGGTTATGAGCGTCGTTAGGCCTTCAACACTTTTTTTTTTACGCGTGGCCCGGTGAGTGCATAAAGGGACTCCGGTGAGGAAATTATTTGACACAACCACTGACAGTGCAGGGGTGGGGGCACAGGTGGCGGGGGCATAGAGGGGGCATCTATTCTTCTTATAGACTGCCTTTAAGGACGAGATATAATGGGAAGTAATGACGACTGAGGGGAAAGGAGAAGGGGGGGTGCGTCAGGCAGACTAGAGAGGCGGAGGCGTCACGGAGGAGTCAGACCTTTATCTAAGAAAAGAAGAAGAAGGATGGGGGAGAGAGAGATAAAGAGAGAGAGAGAGAAGGAGAGAGAGGACAGTGGTTAAAAGAGAGTATTGAAACATTCACAAGAAGTGGTGAGGGGAGCAGGAAGCAGGGCGGTGCCCCTGTGGGGTGGGGGCACAAGCAAGCGGGCAGCGTCAAAATGAGGCTGGGACGAGATCGCGCCGACGTCACAATCATCAATCTCAATCGATACCACTGCACTTTCGGATGACAGGCGGTACAACCTCGCCACGGGTGCCCACCCACCCCTTATTTGAGGGTGAGCTGCCGGGCGAGGCGAGAAAGGAGGCCGGGGGCTTTGGAGGGGCCGCCCCCCGGGCCCTCCTGGCCGTTCTTACGGGTCAGCTCCAGCTCGATGGTCATCAACACCCGCCCGGCGGCGTCCTCTACCGCCGCCGCCGCACCCCCTCCGCCACCCGTCCCCCCGTCCTGCCCGGGCCGGAGCAGGCGCCCAAGGAGCGCGCCCCAGCCCCGCCCCTTATCCTATTTGCGGTCCTTGCGGGACTCCTGCTTCTTCTTTTCCGAGGCCTTCGGCTTGGCGGGGTCGGCCGCTGGCGCGGGGCCCTGTGGGGGAGCAGGGACAGAGAGGGGGGCGGGGGCAGAACAAGGGTGGAGAGTC